AGGTTCGTTTTGCATGCATCTCTTTCGCACGCCGAGATAGCGCGCCCGCCTAATGAAAATTGATGTGAATATAATTATGACGGGGGCCGACACGTGAGCAAGATATATGGCCCGCCGACGCGCCGAATTACGTTTTGCCAAACGAGACATTGGCCCCGCGAAGAAGCACAAGTTGAACGGCTTCCTTTGTTTCACGGGCAACTTGCGCTCGGATTACTTTGTTTCAGCCGAGAAAGCGTGCAGAAAAGCGCTTTTTGTGCGGCGGCCGCAGACCGCGCTCATTTCGCGGCAATTACTATTCACGCAGCAGCGGGCCGTGCATTATGTGTGTTGTTGCTCGTGAGTAATGAAAAGTCTGCCCGACTCTTTTGTGCGAGAGGAATTTGTCGGCTCTTTTGACTCGGAAACTTTGCAACTTTTTAATGGCCGGCCTCAGTTTCCTAATGATTAGAAGATTAATGGACTTTATTACACACTGTAAAAGCCTAGTAAATTTTGAAATTTATGCTAATTTTAGGTGGAAAGTAAATATATGAAAATTTTGCCTCATTTAACAATAGCTTAAAATGTAAAAAATTCATCATCAGGTCTAAATTTAAATCTTCAAATTAATTGAACAATGAATGTAATCGGAATGAACGCGCTCAAGTAGATAAAAAGCCAAGTGTGTCTGATTGAATTTTAAGATTTTTTTAAACCAATGACGATAAAATAGTTTCATAAAAATTGAAGTCACGTTATGTTTGGTGGCTCAATGAAACTGTCTTTTGCAGCGATTGCTTATTGCAAAATTTAGTAGTCAACTGACTTCTGATCAAGAATTTCAAACTCCTCTTCTTAATTTTGGTTTGTAATAGAATAATTAAATCGGTGATTTTTTTATTGAAAATTTTTAATTCAGGTAAAAAAATAATCAGATATTTGGACTGATTTGCACTTTTCATAAACAGAAATTGCAACAACAAGCCAAGATTTTTTCAATTTTTGAACATAATGGGTTGGTATAATGAGAGAATCTATTCTTGCAGCAATTCTTGAGAAGTGATTCTCAAGAAGCGATTCTCGAGAATTGATTCTCGCGCAAGGATTCTCAAAGAACGATTCTGTGGTGGTTTTTTAATGGCAGGAGCGTTCCTCGAGAATCCTAGCGCGAGAATCACTTCTCGAGAATCGCTGCAAGAATCAATTCTCTCACATTCGGACCCACCCAAAGACCTAGAGTAATCTTGATTTTGATTAATTTGCTCGAAAAGATATTTTTTCTTTTGACTGCGTGCCGGGAATATTAAATTGTGATATATGTAACAAAATTATCTGAATTGACTTGATGAAGGACTATTTGATGGTCCCTGCGAAAACGAATGTTAATCAAGAAATCGATTGCGAAAAGTTGCCGAATAACCAGCCCGAAGCCAAAAGTTTTCCGCCAAGCATTTCTTTTAATAAACTTCCTTTAAAATTCTCCATCAAGCCTCGGCGAGTGCTCCTCATTTCAAAGTGCGGCGAGATCACATCTGCGAGATCCGTTGAAGCCGCAACTTTTCCGCCCCCTGACACGGCGAAATCAATCCGGCGTGAAAAGCGGCGTCATCAACTTTCTTTCCGCGAGCGCACGTGATTAAAAATCTTTTGGCACGCGTCACTGAGGCTCTTTTTAATTATCGACAACGGCGACGAGATATTTCGTTCCGGCGCAAATATTTTGCGGATGGATTTTGTTGCGTAAACAAGCGGCCCACTCGATTTTCACTCGATTGGATAAAAATCAAGCGCTGCGAGCACAAATTCACATACACAAAGCACATTGGCGTGTCACAAACACAATACAAAAATAAAAAAAAAATAATTCCAATAACAGGGTGATCAAACGAATCACAAAAAGACTGGAGGGAATCGCGGACCACCGAGGTTAATTACTCGCGTTTTTCAGCCGTTGCAGGATTCGATCATGGAATAAAACTTCTGCCGCGCGCGCATTGCAGCAACTTTTTTATTTCCACTCTTTCACTGCGAACGTGCTCCGTTTCTTTTTAATTGCCAAGGGATTTCAGCCAACGTGTATTTATTTCCACGACGCGAGCGCGCGGTTTATTTTAGCACAATATATATTAAGACAAACCTGTAGGGCTCTTTGCGGCGCTGATTGTTTGTTGTTTACTTGCGCTACGTGGCCAAGTTATTGCTTTTTTGAGCTGCGCACCAGGTACGAACACGCTTGTAATGGATATGTCATCGTTTGTGCGGGGATTTGTTTCTTCATGTCTTGATAGTTGCCGTGCTCGCTTCTTCTTCTTCTTCTTTTATTATAAAAAATTCTAGCGTCTTATTCCAGTAGCTTTCTAACTTAAAGAGAAACGAATGAAAGAGCTTCAAAAGGAATCCCTCTGCTTGTCTCGTTCCTCATCCTACAAGACTTGGCTTCATTCAGAAGTAAATTGAAATATGTTTCACTTCACTATTTAACTTTCTCTCTACATTTATTTTAGACGGATGTTATTAATTTTTTTTCATTATTTGCTCGCTTTTGTGCTTATGTTTGAAATTGAAACTCCATTTCATTGTAGGCATTTCATTATAAAATAATATTGAAACAATAAGTTTAATTTTAATATAAATACTATTATTAACATTAAAATGATTCATTAAAGGCAAAAAGGTTTTTTGTTTTATTTAAAAAAAAAATCAATTTCTCTGTGTCCTGTTATATTTATAAAAAATTAATGGAAATCGTTGAAATTATCAGATTTCTTATTTCTTATTTTTCTTGTAAAAAAAGAATATAGTTTTGAAACATCAAACTGTAGTTGATACAAATATAAATTGAAAATAGCATTAAAAATTAAATGAAACAAATGCTCCCAACTGATATAATTAATATAATTTGCATCTGAATAGAACTGTTTAATAAAAAAAAGTGGAAGTTCCAATCCATTCAATTTGCTTTTCAAGCAAGTAGAACTTGTGTTTGTATTCCATTTAATAATTCTCATCCTCTGCTATTGTTACTCAGTAGAACTTACTTAATGATTCTGTGATGGAACTCAAATGGAAACCTATTTTAACAAAAACTTTTGTTGATGAGGAATGAATATTGATTAAGGTCTTATGGATGTTTGCCTTGGAAACTCAATCTGAACTTTGTAATTTAATTCATCAAGAAGGAAGACAGGGTTGCAGGTAACTTTTCAAAGCAAACGTTCTCTGTTGTTCGCACGTACACATGATTCGATTTTAACGCGGTCATTGAGAGGGACTCGATTATGCCGACGTTTGGAATTTCCAACCCACACGTGTGTGCAGCTGAATTCAAACGATTTTCCGCGCTGGCTGCGCACCCAGTCGGTCGGTCGAACACATCCATCACTTTGGGCCTATGATTGTCTGTGATGCAATTACCGGTGACATTTTACGGCCAATAGAGCCCGTGCATTATGAAATGCATGCAAATTGGCTGCACGGCCCAATTAGTGAGCACCAGTGCACTCGGTGCTGAATACAAATGCGGACATTAGCACGGCCGCCGCGGGGGCGAGAATTATTATGTGAGGCGCAATAATCCGTTCGGGTACTCTTTCAAGGAAACTTTCGCGGCGAAAGCAAGCGTGTGCCAAAAATTTGCAGAGAAGAGAAGACAATGCCGGTCGGAAAAGAATGGGCTCGTTGGTGCTGCCGCCGCTGTTTCGTGTTTTGCACGCCCAGCAGCTCTTTTGTTCGCGCTCCTCTTTATTAAAACACATTATGGCGCTGCGCATTGTAATGAAAGAGAGCGCTCGGTGAAATTTATTTTACGGCCGCCGAGAATGCAACGGTGGTGCCAAAAGTTATTAAAATTCATCACGCCTAGGTGCATACAGGCGTGAAATTGCCATTTTTTGCCTAATCCGACTTGTAAATGCTGCTTTTTATGGGACAAGTGTTAAGGCTCTGTACGCGTTTGTTTGCTTCTCATATCGACTCTATAAAAACTTGCAACTCATTCATCTTTTAGAGATCGTTTTATGACTAGAATTGATGTTAGTGCAAAAAATTACGTTATAACTACCATCAATAATGCCCTAGTTACTATGGAATTTCACGGATTTTTATTTTCACAAAGCACACAGCAACATTGACGAATCTGGAAGATGGTTTTAATTAAACCGCAGGATTTTAGGAATCACCAATAAGTCCAAAGCAATAACAAATTAAGAAAGTGGAATCTGTTTTGAATTCAAATTTTGAATTTTAAAAAATCAAAAGACGACTTCTGGACGACATAAACAATTAATTTCAAATTGGTAAAATTGTATAAATTGAAGGAAATATTCATTACTTTTTAATTAGTAAAACTTTACTGCAATTAATTATGACGTTGTTCAAACTTTTAAACGATGGTTAATTTCAAAGATATGTCCAATTAAAATTTAGTTAAATAAATATGTCGTATTTGAAAAAGTGGTTTGTTGAATTTAAATTTGAGGTTCCTTTGATTTATGATAAAATTGATTCATTTTATTTACCAAAATTTCGAATAATCATTTTTCGATTATCTCGTTGAATTCCCGCAACAGCGTCATAATATTCCATCAAGCGTTTTGCTCTAAAAGCGAATGGTTAATTAAACAGGCACTCGACAGTCCCAATTTTATGCTGATATTAAAGCCGTGCGGCGACAAACAAACAAAAAGGCAGCGGCAATTGAGCCATTTCCGCAAACCAATTACCACCTTTGAAGCCCCAAAACAGAATTTTCGCCGAGTGAATTTGTAAAAAAAAAGTTGTTTGGTTTGCGTTCGCAACCGCAGAAGTTGCGAGGGCACTAATAATTATAATCCGCGTGTTTGCAGCGAGTGACAGGCCGGTCGGGTTTGTGTGCTGATTACTCGAGAGCGCGATTATTATTTGCGGCTTGCACGCCGACACACACACACACACACACACACACACACACTCTTTGCATGCAGGCAGATGTTTCAACGAGCTGCCGGATTTCGTTGTAAACTCGTGGACGTCTGTTGCAGATGTAGCAGACAGCCAGCGGCGGACCAAATGCTGACCACACATCATGCACGAGTTGCCGGCGATGCAGGTGAGAGCATTCTCGACTGACCCACCCTTCTTCACCCACCCACCCACCCTTACACGCGCTTAATTATCTCTCGCATTTCCAACCGGTCTGCTTTGCACCAACACTAAAGAGGTGCTCCAAAATGGAATTAGATTTTTAACTAGAAGTCAAGTAAAAATTTCAATTTTTGATTGTTTTTTAGATTTTAATTAAAAAATCAGAAGTGTTTATACATGTCAAATGAGTGACGAGAACACTTCCAAAAAATAAAATATTTAGATATAAATGTACATTTACCTGAGAAATATTATTATATTTTCTTTCAAGCAAATTAGAAAATTATATTATAATTCTAAAAGGATTTAACAATTCTCATAAACACAGCTGATATACACTGGCAAATTTAATTGTTTGATATTATCTGGTGCTATAGTTAATAACTTTACTACATAAGAAATTGGTGGAGATAATTAATATTTTCTATTTTGTTCCTGTAAACTGCATCGAGAGTTTGAGAATGCCTAAAAATTTCCTACTAAAGGACCAGAGAAACTTTAATTTTAAGTTCTAAGATTTAAACGGATTAAGAATTTATAAATATTTCAGATGGCTAAAAAAAAAAACACTTTCTTGTTTTGAAAATTCCACAATCATCAAAATGCTTCCATAACAGATGATCAATTCAAATTCAAACTCTATTGAAGTGAGGCTTGTTAAAAACCAGCATAATAATAATACATATCTCCATCTGCAATTCATCACTGACGAGAAGAAATTAAAATTTTGAACATGCTTAGCGCACTTCAGCTGCCAGTCACGGCGCAGGTCTAACTCAATCTCTGAAATTAATGCAGTGCAATCCTTTGATCTTCGCCTAATCGAACTAATTAGCTGAGATTTTGGCGTCTCGCGGCACAATTATCGTCGTGCTGAGAGCAGTTGGTGATTTCCTGGAGGATGCAAACTGCGCGGGTTGGTTCTTCAAACTGCCATTGACTGTCGCGAAATCGCGCTTGGCGTTCAGCGGGCCGTATTTGGAACGCGAGAAGTGCACGGCGTTTGCCGACTGATTCCCAGTTTATTCCAAGATGTATACCCGACCTAATTGTTCACGAAGCATTATTAGCTTTTCCGCATGTTTGTTTGATTCAAAATTCTCAGAAGCCGTCTTGCAATATGCAAAGAACGAGGTCGCGACTGTTAAACCTTTTCTGATATATTCATTTCAAAATAACTTTGCGAAATTCTGCTAATAAATATAGCTCATAATTCTAGGAAAATTTTATATGAATAAAAATAAATATTGGTACTCTCAGAAAATCATTAGGTTCAAAGTATACTATAGAATTCCCCAAGTTAAATGTTAAGTCGTTTTTAACCAAGCAAATCAAGTCATTAGTCTTTTTAATTTATTCAATTTGGCTCTAAAAATAAAAATTATATCAACGAATATAATTTTTTCTCTCTATTTTCAAACTTATTTTTGCAAAGATTGTTTTATTAAATTAAAACGGAAATTTGAAAAAGTCTGGATATATAGTAAACAGAAAATTAAAACAATGTCCTAAAATAGTCCGAAATCTCAAAAAACTTATTTTTGTTTGTTTATGAAAATGCAATAAGTCTATTTTTGTCATTTACTTTAAATCAGAATGACGTAAAATTAGCCAAGAAGTCCGAAAGAACTCAAAAGTGAATAAAAAGAAAGTAAAAAAAAAACTTTCAACCAATTATAAATACTACTCACTGGAACCCAATAAGCATTCATTTGAAACTAAATATAATTAGATTTCAATATTGATTTTTGCATTTTGTTTTAAGATTTTGTTTACATTTTAAACTTAAGTGCTCCTCTACTTAAAAACAAATTGATTTTGAACCTTCTATACAAGCATAAATTAATTTCAATCTGTTCACAATTTTAAATATTTTGTAGGGAGCAATGTTTTGGTAAAGAATTAAAAATATCCAGGTACGCCCCTGAATTGAATAAAGTCAGATAGGCGAGTCATGTTCCCACGCGTGTGTTGGACTGTTCGTCCTATCGCCCTTTTTGTTCTGCCTAATGGATGATTTGTAGTTACAAGCGTGGTCATGTTCTGTTGCAGCAGTGCCGATTGGTCGCGTTCGTCATGCTCCTGATCGTCGGTGGACACAGCGCCGTCAGCCCAGGTATGCAAATGACTTTCCCAGCACAGATAGGCCACATTATTTTTCCCCGGCCGCCGAACAATAATAATATAACAAAGCAGCCACTCGAGCGTGACAATAAATGGGCAAAGTTCCGCTAATGCGCCGGCGAACTAAAGAAAAGTTGTCTTGACGCCAATTTTTCATTTTTCGCTCCCTCGAGGTAGAAGAGCTTCGCCGGCACACATTAATTATTTAAACGCAGCGCAATAACACTTCATATTGCCGCGTCAAATTACTGCTTTTTGCGCTCGCCGCCGCCGGACGGGACGTGGCGAAAGTGAGGGGTGCACAGGGGCGGGAGGGAGGGCCATCCGACGGGCGCACCATTAGCTGATGATTTTGCGCCAGCGGACCTCATAAATCGCCTCTTTTCGTCACTAATGCACCGACAACGAGCTGCCCCTGATGTTTGTCTCGATACTGTTCGTCCTCGGGATGAAAGCTTTTGATTAAAGGGGCAAATTGCTCGCTGCTGAGCACGCAAAATGTTGAGCTATTTGGATGACAGAGGCAATAAACAAAACACTCTGATGTCTTTTGTCAGTATTTCCAGCGATTTTCGTTATTTGTTCCTTCGCAAAAGCTTCTTCAGCTTTAGAAAGTATCTTTTTGATCAATTGTATTGCAAAATAAAGAACTATGAAATAATTATCTAGAGTTTGACGATAAATTTAAGATGGTCGCATTGTTCTGTTGAATGAGCAATGAATTAATTTAATGCAGCGAATTTTCAATCTGGATTTTTCTTGAATTCTTAGAAAAGTAATTTCAATAAAAATAAACACAAATAAATCCATACAAAATAATTGTTTTAGAAACTCCATCAGGATTTTCATAAAGGATTGTAAACCCACTTTGAATGCTCTTTTTGTTTGTCAAATGAGAACACCGAGTTTATTTTAAAATTACAAGAGGTAAATGCTCAGAAATCGTTTTTCCACGTTATTCCATTAAAATTATTTCATGAACTTTGAGCTCGAATAACTTTTGAAATTAAAAAACGTGGCAAAGTGTTCCTTTCTGCGATAATAAAATAAATCGTGGCTCTTGTGACGAGTGCGAGTGTGTCAAAGGGAAGTTCAAAAGTCGCGAGAGCCGTTTTTGCGATAGCATCTCATTAAAAGTGGCGAAATGCAGGCCTATGAAAGAGTGAGCGCTCTCTCGTCGCCCAGCTCGCTCTCGTGTAGAATTACACGAGCATTAGACTGATTGCGAGTGAGAGATATGGGTATAAATACGTCGGCTCCACTTTTCGGCCCCCGAGATGAGACGCAGCCGGAGGAAATTGGCACTCTGCCCTGGCGCCTTTGTCGTGAGCGCGCGCCGCCCTGTCAGCGCCGCACTCTCACGTCCCACGTCGGCCTTATAATAATCATCATAATACACACCCCGGTCATTTTTGTTTAGAACAAAAGATGCGAAAGTCCGTGGGCGTGGCTAACAGCTGGATTATCTTGAAAAATTTACTGCCCAAATTCTCTTCCATATTTTTTTGCTTGCCTGAATGAATTGAATGATACGGAAAGCGTAAAAATTGAAGTTTTATGAAACTTACAATTAATTAGAACAGAAAATTAATCGTGTAATACGTTAGCACAAAAAACGGCTTTGTAATTACACAATTAGTATTTTTGTTTTTTTTAAATTTGGAGAAGTAATAAAACTATTTTCAATAATTGTAAATTAAATGCATGAATTTATTTACTTTGCCAGTCACAGATGATTGTTGTGTTTTGCCTGTTGAATTTAAAATGCAACACAAAATTTACAAAAAAATTTTTTTAATCACCTTTTTTTAGATGATTTTGCCAAAATAAAATTGTACGTCAGTTTACAATTTAATACTTTACATTTGTCTGTCATTCTCACAACAATTAACTGTCATTGTCTGAATATTTTAGAATATTTCAGTCTGCTTTAGCAAACAAACCTTGTCACATACAACAAGTCGATCAATTTGATTTGCTCTCTCGGACGAAGTTTCAAATTTGACGCTGACGGGTTGATTTCAAGTATGCAACTGACGAGGGCCCGATCCGGCTCCCTCATCACATATGCCCAACGCAGGCCCTATTATTTCGCAGGCATTGCCTGGCTGATGGCTGCGCCAGACACCCGAAGCGACGACGCCAAAGTAAAATTTAAACGCTCTCTTTGCATAATAACGGCAAAAAAGAAGAGGAAGAGGAGCGAAATCTCGGCAGCCGATATTGCATTATAGATGACGCTCGTTCTCTCCGCCCGAGCGGGGAAAATTTTTCAATACATTATTTTTGGAGAAGCGTCGATCGTATCAGTTTTATTGAATCTCCGTCCTGGAAAATTACTATTACCGGCCGCCATCGTTACGCTGTTGCATCCAACCAGATAATTAACCCCATTACAAATGGATCTTGAGGCGGCGTAATTGCGACTAGGGGCCGGCCCGCCTGCATTAATTAGATTGACTGTGGCCACGCGACGGAGCCGAGCCATGTAGTCGAAATAACTCTCTCTCGCCGCCGCCGCAAAGTTGGCGCAAAAAGAGTGCACGTGCCGTGAAATATGTCGACCACATGTAAATTGTTGTAATTATAGTTAATCCCGCAGTGAATTCGTGCCCGCGACTCCGACAACGCCGCACTGCACTGACTTTGTTTCAAACAGCTGCTGACCTATTGTACCTCTAGTCAGTGACAAAGTCAAATTGCATAATAAATTTCAAAAACTTTGTAAAAAAAAATACTACAGATATCAATGAATTATTTAAGTAAAAAGGTAAATGTATCTAAAAAATGCAAAATTCCCCGTAGAGAAGGAATCGGGAAAGCTGTCACTAGTTTAAGCTTATGGAATAATTTTGTAGTCAAAATTGTAAAAACAAAATTTATATTCAATATTGGTTTGGAAATTTTTTAATGAGTACCTCTAGATAGAAAAAAAGGATTTATAATATTTTTATTAACTTTTTATAGTATTTAATTAAAATACGTTATTCATCCAAAAAAGACATATCTATAAGGTTAACTTTTCAAAAATCAATAGGAGGTTGAAACTGAAATATTTACTCTGACCAAATATAATTTTTTACGTTTTAACTTTTTGTTTTACCACATTATATAAATTGAGCTTACCATAAAGCTGAATTAATTAGCATGAATTAAAATTATTTCTGGATACTATTTCTGTAGCGAAAAAACTATATTTATGAAATGTGTTTTTAATCAAAAATAGTTTAAACTGCATTTATTTCGTTTAATAATGCAACTTATCAAAAGTGTTGCAATAGAAAAATCGTTCACTTTGGAAACTACACTGCAAAAGTTTAGAGTCTATCCAAGTCGATCCAGCTGAGCTTTTTTCTGCATTACCATAAACAAAGCTCTTTAAACACACTGCTCGGAAAGTTTTATCTCCAGGAGAAAGATTCAATCGTTGTTCGTTGGTACAGTCGTCGGTCCAATAATAAATTATTCCGTCGAGCGCGGGGCGGAAGAAGCAATTTGCGTCGAAGCGAGACCGCACGCGCTCAATTACGTCGTGCAATATTTGTCGTGTGCATAATTGAAATGGTACCAATCAAGCCGAGAGCTTGTCGCCTAGTGGATATGCAAGCCCGCACCACTCCGACGTCCAACTAAAAGCCTGTGTGGTGTTTGGCGGCTGCAAATCGCTTTACACACTTAGCTCGCAGCGATTAAAGTTGGGTCGGAAATGAACAAGTTTCGCGTCAAAACAATGTGCTAAAACAATATTTTCCAACCGGAATTTTAATTAAACGCCCCAGCTCACTCCAGGGACAATTAAAACTTTGCTGAAGGTGCAGAAAAGTAAATCAAACTTGTCCAGAATAATTATTGATTTGAAAAAATATAAAAGTTTTGCAAGATAAAATTCTTACGTTATTTGTGTTCCTTTGAATGGAAGTTTATGAAAACATAAAACAATACAGCTTTATGGTTTTATGAATGTTAATTTGAAAAAAAATCTTTACATAATTAAAAAAAAAAATGTAAATAATAAATATTTTTGTATTTAAATGGGAAAAAATAATAAAAATGCAGCAATGAATGATCACATATTTTTCCTCTACCGATTGAAAGTGTTTGTAATACATCCGTGTCATATATTTGGAGATTTCATATTTGATCAAAGCAAGCATCAACCCTATTGAATGGCAGCCGGTGGAAGGAAAGAAACGCCCGATTGAATGCGCCTCTTTTTCGTGTGAGCACTCGTAAATAAGAACCGAAAAGTCTTTTCTCAGCAAATAAAAGCGGACCGAGAGCGAAAAGGGAGAAAGGCAGAAAGAAAGTAAGTCCGTTTGAGAAGCCGGTCAAGCACGGTGCCCGAGGAATTCAGTGGCGAGGTGAGGCGGAAGACCGATGATGGACAGCTGAGTGGGACTGGAGAAAACATCGATCAAATGAAAAAAGTTGTTTGATTGTATCAGTGGCCAAAAGGTCGAGATGCATCTCGTCCATTTCGAGCAGCCACTCGAAAAACTTTTCATTTTCGCCACGGGCCCCCTCTGCTTATGTTAACAAGGTTGTTGCTCATTTTTTTATTTTTATGTTGCGCTCTGCGGCCAATTTTGTGCACCGCTTGCCATCCGGCAAAACTTTAAACGCAATTATCCACCGCAACGGCGCGAGGGTCTTTGTGCGCCGTCTCGGCCTGCGGCGCATTATCAATTACTCATGCATGCTCGCCACGAGCCTAATTGATGTATATTGCACGAGTTGGCAGTGTCCGCTGAACAATATGGGGGGCACCGAAAGCCTTGTCAGGCCTAAATTAGACTTTATTAAAAAGTTGAGGTTCATTTTGACCGGATGACAAAATTCACCAAGAGGGGATTTTTGACTTAATTTGAACAATACATTTCTTCCTTGTTATGTTATTATATTCATAACAATATCGCTTCAAAAATAAATTTTTGGGTTAAAAAAACAAAATAAAACTACTGTCTTTTGTCATAAAACTTCTCTGTGATAATA